GTTCCCCGAGCGGGTTGCTGTTCTGTGCCTCTATGGTTCTTCTCATTATTTTGCGTTTGGTCTTACTCAGAACCAACTCAGACCAACAGCTAACACCAGCGCCCGCGAGTGCGGCCGACCGAACTATATCTCCAATTTGCTGCTCAATCCAACCATTGACAAAGACCAAAGCTATCGTCCAAAGCTACATGTACGGAGCGCGGAGCAGAAAAACCATTACCCAAAGACTTCAATCATGAAGTGATACTCAATCTTGCTGCCGTCGTGCCGCCCCCGCACCGTGAGCTGCCGGCACTTGTCTGCCAGGATCTCCCCGACCACCGGCGCTCCGCAGTAAAAGACTCCGACCTTTAGCTCCTCATCCTCCTCCTCCACGTCCCGCCGCTCGCCGCTAGCGCCTCGGGTACTACCGCGGTCGTCGGCTCTAGCGTCCCCATTTTCGCTGCGGTGGTTCCCGTCTGTTCCCACCTCCCCTGCGTTTGCCATGCTGTCGGCTGCGGCCCCGCCGCCCGCGTTCGCTTTCATCCTCTTGCTGGCACGGAACCTCCGCATGTCCTCGTAGTGCCTATCTAATATGGCATCAAAGTCGGGCCGCCCAAAGTGCGTCGGGTTCAGCAAGCCCGTCAGCGGGCTCTCTGGGTGCTCCTCGGTGCGGTGCATCTCGAGAAGCCAGCGGTACACGTGCGTGACAATGTCCCTGCGTTTCTGGGTGACGTGCGTGGCGATGCGGATGTCGAGGTGCTGAGATGGGCCCTCGTGGCGGCGGTGCCAGTCCTGGCTTCGCGAGACCGAGTTGAGGAGGTCGGCGATCCAGAGGAGGTAGTTTCGGTCGCGGACCGTCCAGTGGAAGTCTACGCGGCGGTAGTCGGGGGCGAAGGTGAAGGCTTCTGACGGGTTAGGGGGCTTCGTGGGGTCGTTTCCATCCGGGGCCTCTGTTGTCGTTGCTGCTGCCATTGTCGATTCTGAACCCTTTCGCTCGTTGGTCTCTTTCTTCTCCGCCACGACGGTCGTCTCCGAGTCGTGGCGGTGTTGGTGGGCGCGGTGCTGATGCGGGTGTGTCGGGCCCCCGTGCTCCTCGTCATCGCGCGCCTGCAGGTCCGCGAGGATGCCCGAGAAGGGCGTGACGCCGATGCCTGAACCCACGATGATGGTGTGGTTGAAATCGTAAAATCGCTGAGCCGGCGCACCAAAGGGTCCGTTGATACCCACCTCAATCTCCGTTGCTGCATCGGCTCCTTCCTCTCCTTTCCCGCCTAGATCGCGAAGCCGCTTCGTCCAGTTCCCATCCGTCTTGATATGTAACTGGAACTCCCGCCCCTTACAAATGGAGACGGTGAACGGATGCCACTGGAAAGCGCTGATGGCAGGCACCTGTAGAAACACGTACTGCCCGGCCCTGTACTTCCACATGCGCTCGCTGGGGATCGTGGCCGCGACCTCGACCGTCTCGCCGTCGAGCACCGTCAGTGTCGCCCTGATCCTGTGGAACCCGGTACCGACGCGGACGACGCGCTCGACGAGAATCAACAGCGTCGGCACGGCGAGGAAGTAGCCGAACATGGGCCACTGCAGCAGCGCCGCGGTGCCGTGGGCCATCATGAGGCCGATGATGGGGTACATGAGCAGGTGCGCCAGCTGAAAAACCTCGTAGTTCCAACGCCGCACGGCAGGCATGCTGAGCAGGGCGAGGAGGTAGAAGAGGCCTAACGCCGTGATACCCGTGAATCCCGGCAGCGAGCGGACGTACTCGACGTACGGCCTCGGCACCGCGTCCGGGCCTAGGACGGCTGCCACGGCGTCCTGGTTTTCGGGTCGGCTCCCGTGGTAGAAGGAGCCCGTGAGGTGGCCTACGGCGTGCAGCGTCGCGAGCGCGAGCGCGAGGCACGAGATCTTGATGTGGAAGCTCTGGCTGAGGTCCCAGTTGATGAAACGAGAAACGCGGTAGGAGCGGCGGAGCATGGTGGAGAAGTAGCGCGACATGCTGAGGATGAGGAAGAAGAAGGTCGGGTAGAGCATGCCGGCGCAGGTCTTTGCGAGGACGACGCCCCAGCCGAAGGCGGCGCGGTACTGGGGGGTGGTGGCGTATTTGACGCATTGCCAGACGCCGAAGGCGATGAGGGAGGATGCGACGAGGCCTAGGAAGGCGATTTCGGGGCCGTGGACGGCCCAGTAGGCTCGGAGGCGGCGGGAGAGGCGGAGGTGCTGGATGAAGTCTCGCTGGGAGGTTTCCGAGTCGGCGTCTTGTTTCAGGGAGGGGATTTTCCATTCGCGGACGCGGGCTGCGAAGGCGGCGCGGGGGATGCGGTGGGTGCGGGAGGTGTCGTCGTCGTCGTCGTCGGAGCCGGCGAGGCCCATTACGGAGCGGAGGAATTCATGGCGGAGGCGGTTCTCGTCTGACGAGGAAGACGACTGATTTGGTTTCTCTGGAGAGGCGTGACGGCTGATGACGTGGTGAGGTTTCACCTGACCGCCGGGCGCGAGCTCGTCGTGGGCGGCGTCGAGTTTGGCTTCGACTTCGGCGTAGTCGATGTAGCCGTCGCCGTTGTGGTCTAGGTCGTCGAGGAAGGAGGTGATTTCGTCTTCGGTGAGGTATGTGACGCCCTCTTTGGGGTTCGTGACGGGGTGGTTTGTGGGGGTAGCCATGAAGGCCCTCGTTGTTTTGCTGATCAAGTACCCTCACGGACTGTCGTTTCTTCTGTCTGTCTGTCTGTCTTCCTTTTATCGAGTCGCTGTCACCGAGAGAGCGATGGACACCAATGGATATCTGAAGAGAAAGACACGGTCGAGGGACAGAAAGTAAACGACGGGCGTCCATGGTGTCTATATCTTTGAATGGATGCAATGACAGCAGGGCTTTATTGGGGTTTTGGACTATGGAAACGGGACTAAGATGCGTGTTGCGCTCATTTTACACTTGGCTCTGCTTGGCGGTGATTTCCCCTTTTTCATGTGCCAATGTGGGAGTGTTGCGCGCTTACTTGGTGCGGTGGTGGTGGTGGATCGCGTTGTCGTACGTCAGCCGGGACGAGCCAAGCTTCTTGGTGTTTTTGGCACGGATACACGTAGCATAGATTTCTGGACCTGGTACATGGAAGAAGTATCAAAAGAGACCTGCAGTCTCATACGTCTTCATTGCATTGAAACTAGAATGCTTCTCTCTCAGTCCATCTCACACAAGTTGAGACCTAACGTGAATCAGTTGAAGAACATCACGGCTCCCTGCTGTGCGAAAGGATACAGCATTGCTGAGATTCAATACACTAGAAGCCTCAAGGCGAAATCGTACATCAACATACGTAGTATGAAAAGGTCTAGGCCGTCTTAGAGGCTTGGTATCCGGACCGTCGCATTGGTACAAAACTCAAAACACAAAAAAGATTCCATGGTACGATTTGGACGAGCCATTGACTTCACTGATTACCGAAATAGTCTTGCACTTGCAAACTACAATAACACCAGGTGAACTGGCTCTTTTCCACTGGCTGAGTCTTCTTGGTTTCTTGGCCTCTTCTTGGCTCCTGGTTGGCGTCTTGGTATCTAAATCAGAGAGGATATCCCGCTCGTCATCACGGTCTGCCGTCAATTACAGAGTCTCTGATTGGTCTGGGGGGCAAACCAGGTTACTGCGATAAGCACGATAGGCTCTCTCTGTGCGTCGTGGAAAGCGCACAGGCCAAATGACGTATGCTGCCTTTCTGGTGTGGCTTTCTGTGGTGGTGCGGTGACAGAAGCCCAGACCTCTTCAAACTCCCACCTAAGCGTGCTGAGGCGCCAGCATCATTCAGGTCCACCCGCCGGGGCCTCCCGTTCTGTTCCCCCGGCATGTGCCGGAGCTTTTTGTCTGTGCCCCTCCCATCCTCCCACCATCTCACGGATGCGTTGCCGTATAGTACGGAAGTCTTTAATCTACTGGATCAGGTAGAGGGGATATGTAGGATACATCTGGGTTGGTTGTTGGATTTATCGCATAATGATCTCGTCTACTGAAGAGGGCGGTTATCAAACACTGAACTAGAGGTGACTTTCTCAGAAACAGTCACTTCGTTTCGCCTGTGAGATTCCCCAGAATGCTCGCAATGTTGGTAAATAAAGATAGTGTAGAGAGGCTTGCCAAACAATGCTTAGATTTATCCTTCTAGTTTTACATTTCTTAGAAGTCCATCAATTCATTCACACCTTGACCGGTGATTAAAGGTAGGCTTAATTGAAGCGCGCCTTCCTCTGGGTTCTGACCTTCAAGTATCTCCTATCAGGAAAAGGCCCATATAGCTTGTGTTCCACATCCACCATCTCTGATACTGCGCAATGTGGCAAAAGAATTGATGGAACGTGACTCCAAAGTCGATTCTAACACCGTCCAGCTGAATGGAGATCTAGGCATATCAACGCACCTTTCAAAGGCCATTCAGTTCCGGGGCCATCTCGGTGTCCGTACAATTATATTTGTGGGCCCCACCATTCTCCCGTCATCGCATCACGGCGCCGTCCGGCACCGACTTCGGTCCCCCGAACGAAGGAAAAAAAAGAGCTATAGAGCCTTTTCTCTCCCACGCGACAAGACAAAAGATCATCCTGACTTCTCTGGATATAGGTAGCTCGAACCTCTTCTTTGATTTGTACCTCTACTATCTTCCCTCCATTTGATCGCAGGACTGTGAGCCCGGTACTTCTTCACCTAGGACTCAGGTCCTACAAAGTGCCCCACTTCAGCCAGGCAGGGAGCCAAGCAATTCCGCCTTACACGCAGGCAAGCAGGCAGGGCGAATTTACCCCGCCGTCCAGCGTGAGCCTCACCTCGCCTCTCACCTCACCTCATCCCACCTCACTCGACCCATCACCACCACCTCACACTCACTCACACTCACTCACCCAACGCAGCCCAACCCCAAGCTCCACCACAAACATCTCAAACTCCCATGCCCCTACGGAGCAAATTAAACCTCAACGCCCAAACCACAACCGCAAACACCACAACCTCAACCTCAATCCCAACCGCCAAAATGGCCACCCAGACAAAAGACCGCATAACCTGCCACGTCCTAGACACATCGGCCGGAAAACCAGCCCGCAACGTCCGCGTCCAGCTCTCCACCACCATCCCCTCCCCTCACCCCTCCTCCTCCTCCTCCGCCGTCACCTCCGGCTCCGCCTCCCCCAACACCACCACGCCCGGAGGCGTCCTCAAAGAATTCGAATCCACCACAGACGAAGACGGCCGCGTCAAATCCTGGCTGCCCTTCTCCTCCGCCACCTCGTCGGGCGAGGTCCCCGTCTACACCCTCGACGACGTCCTCGGCGAGATCGAGGCCGCCTCCGCCTCCGCGGCGACGTCCTCCCGCTGGACTCTCAAGTTCGACACGGCGTCCTACTTTGGCGGCGAGGACGAGACCTTCTTCCCCGAGGCCGTGGTGGTTTTCACGGTGAAGAGGGGCCAGCATTATCACGTTCCGTTGCTGTTGAGCCCGTATAGCTATACCACCTACCGGGGCAGCTAAGCTCGGATGTCAAGTTATGATAGGGGGATGACGTCGGATTCCGCGGGGGAATGAGGTGAGCTAGTTTTGTGGCTGCGAGCGGGATGGTTTCCATGTGGATAGAGAATCGAGCTGTGCGATGGCCGGTGTCTGGTGGTAAATCTCACATACCGTGGATCTGGACCATGGACCTCTTACTTTGGGAATACCTCAAGAACCAGAGCAGCTTGCGTCCAACACAGAACCAAAGCCACTAAGAGGGATCGTTAATCGCGTTGAAAGGGCAGAAGAAAGGACCAAGTGAATAGTGCAAGAAACTTGCAACTAAACGATAGAATTACTATGTTTTAACGATAGTCTGTTCACCGTCGTAGGTTATTGTCCCTCGTGATGCACATTTCCACCCGTCAGGATCGTCTGTGAAGGTGAAAATTCAGAGGACCAATATCCTCTATGACGATGGCCTAGTGTTGTACCATCCCTATACTCCGTGTCCAATCCCATTCCCAAAATCAAAATTCCAAGCCCGCCTTTGGTTGTGCCCAACCCCATGTTGCAGGTCAAAAGAAAACTCCGCGCTTGCGCTGTGGTGTGTCTGTTTTACAAATTCTTTTCGGCCGTTTTAATCGTGTGCGCGGTACATCGGGTCGATAGTTCGCCGCCTGGTTTCGTGATTCCTCACTTTCGTATCGCAGATGTTGTGACTCTACGGCTTCTTCCAGCCAAGCTTTCTAAACAGGCTGCCTTTGCGTCCGTTGCTCTGAGCCGACGTGACGGGCGAAAGGTCGCCACCGCTGTGGGAAAGCATACTCCCGGCATCGTCTCTGCTCATGCGTCCCGCGGCCGGCAAACTAGACTGGCTGGTGTTGGACGGGACGTCTGCTTCGAGGATGGCGGCTTCGGCTTCGGCTAGGGCTTCGCTGCTGTAGAGTGCCTCCATTTGAGGAGTGATGCGTCCATGGCTGATGGTGCGTCTATGCTTTTGCAGGAAAGAACGTCGTGTACGGGCTCGATTTCCAGCGAGATCCTCCTGCGAGATGACTGCGTTGGGCGAAAGGTTGGCGTCGGGATGCGGGAGCGTAGTGTTGCGTTCTATATTGCTTAGTAAATGGACCATAGATTTTGCGCCTCATTCCAAGAAACTTACCTCCGTTGAAAGGCTCAGGGAAGCCAGTGTCTCGAAGACTTGCCTGGCTCTTGGTCGACGGACTTCGTGGTGTGTTGGTCATTGTGTGAGGCTCTGCACGAAGATACGATCTTAGTTTATTGTGGGGGAACCGATGGTGGAAGATCGACGGTAATAAAGTGGCGGAAGGTCAGGTAGCGGTCACAGCGGGGAGTTTTTTGGGGCCAGTATTCAGTGGAATAAAAGCGTTGGAAGGGTGGTGGTAAATAAGATGGGTAGAGTCCCGGGGGGCAAATAGTAGACCGCAGGTGGGTGAGAGAGGCTGCTCCCTTTGTTGTGGGTAGGTAACAGAAAACTGTTGCAGAATAACTGGAATTCTGGATAATAGAGAGGAAGGAACAAAGAAGTTTCGGGAGATAGAAAGGTGAGAGGAAAATAGAACAGGGCGAGACGCCGTCGGGATTTCTTTGCTGAGGCAGTTCGGTGATGAGTGTTGCCGTTTGATCCTTTAGCGTCTTGGGCAATTACGAATCCCCTCCCGAATAAGACGAGACCAGTTAATGAGACCGGAACGGCAAGGTCAGGAACGAGACGAGAGCAGCAGCAGCAGTAGCAGTTATGAGCAAATGAGAATGCGAGACTCCGCACCGGTAATCCGCCTCTGGGCGTTCTCTTTTCGCTCAATAGTGTGAATGGAACACAGTAGCTGGAACTAACCGCGGGAATGGGGCTTCAGATGGGGAGGGGTGGGATAGTCACGGTATTTAGAGCAGGTTGCAGTCAGAAGAAGAGTGGCCACTGGCCTATGCTTTTTTGGCTCTTCTTGTTTTGCCGCATCTGGAAACACGTAACCGTCGTTCCGCCTCTTGGATTTCCTGTGCACGGCGGGTAACGAATGGCCCCGGTGTAGGAGACTTGGAGGGGATCCCTACGAGGTCTGACTTGCGTGCCCTGGTGTTTCTTGTTCGCTCTCGCTCCATCGCTGGGTGCTGCGCTGTTCGTTTGCTCGGGCTCGGCCTTCCGCTTGCAAAGGCACAGTCGAGCGCAGCAGCAGCGATGAGATGACTGGGCCGCAGCAAAGCACAGCAATGCCAGCCAGTGACTAGGGGTGGCAGGGTAGTACGGCACGAGAGGCGGGGAAGAGCTAACAAATGTTCGAGGACATGCAGCCTTAGACATAGAAAGAAATGCAGAAGCCGGAGCACTAAACTCGCTCAGAGACACACACCAGCGGTGAAGTTTGGACGGATGCTTTTGGCTGGTTGTTTTGCTTGGTCTGCAGAAACACTTGAGCAGCAACTTGCAGTAGCCAGCAGCTTATAGCCAGCCAGCGGCAGCCTGGGATGACCTGCATGAGGGACTCGGGCACACCATGCGCACATGGAAGTCATGACGATTGGTGTTTGGCAGTGTCATGTTCCGAACTCTGATGGTGCCACACCATTCTCAGGCTTTCATGGAAAGTTGCCGAGAAAAAAATAGTCCCAACAAAAAAAACACTAACAAGTGGTGCAAGTGAAGAGAAATGTAGAGTGGCCTGAAGGTGGAGGAGCCTCCGTTCTGCGAGAGAGAGCACGGGAATCCCGGCGGCGGAGGACAGTTTCCTCTCTTGAGCATCGTGGAATGACGAGTGGACGACAAGGGTTCCGAGCAAACGGAAGGAGGGACTGAGTGGGTTAAGAAAATGGAAGGAAAAGAAGAGGCAAGGAATGGAGATTGGTGTGCTTGGGGGACGGACAAGAAACCGAGAGACATGGCAAACATGGGAAAATGGCATGGCTTACCTTGGGCGGCGAAGGCCATTGGTGCGATGTGTGCCGGTATTCCGCTCGGTTGAGAGCCAGAGCGTCAGCGGTGGAACCCTCTTGAGGAATAATCCTGTCTTGGGTAGGCGGTAGGATAGGCGGGGAGTCTGGGCAAGACAGCGCAGCGCAGCGGGACGGAGAGTTGAATCCGTGTTAACCAAGCGCTCAGCTGTCTGTGGTATGTTCTCTGGGCGGGTTGACTGGATGTCCCAATGATATTGCTTTTGCGTCGAGTGGCAGAATCAGAATGACGAAGACGTCGAGGGGTCCAAAGAGGTCTCCACTGAACAAGCGCGCGGTAGGGGACACAAGCTGGGTTTTGTGCCGAAGATGATGGTGAAGAAGAAACTGAAGACGCTGAGTACGAATTCTTGACAAAGAGTATCTTCTTGGCCCAAGCTGTTGTCGTCGAGAGTCGAAGCTGAAACGGCTGTGCGGGGTTAGGTAGAATGGATGTGGGAAGGTATTCGCAGGTTGCAAGGTTCGAGAATAGGTGAGAAGCTTGGATGTTGCGGAATGTCGAGTCGAGGAGGTGTGTCTTGTCAGAGAAGAAGATACGACGATCTCAGAAAAGTATATTTTTCAAGTTTTGAGGCGGGGATCTCGAGTCAAAATGTTGTGGTTTGCGTTGACTGTTGACGTGCGGTTCGTTATGCTGAAAGTGGGGAGGAGTGATGACATTCAAGTACAGATAGAAGTTCAAGGAAGGTGCGGTGCAAGTGGTGGTCAAGGTTGTTCTTTCCCAAGTTACGATGCGAACCGTGGACTGTGTCAACCTCGCGGGCAGGCGGCATCCCCGTTGTTTATATCGTCTAGTGCTATTGCCCTCCCTCATTTGGACGGGAGTGACTTGGAGAGAAAGTTGGAAGGCCGCGACCGGTGAGGTCAGTTTTGTCAATCACTCTACTACCATGTTGCATGTCTGAGTGCAGAGGAAGGGATTAGTTGACAGTGATTGACACCAGTGACCGAATTGATCACCGGCGTAGCATCTCAAAGGGGCGGCCCCCCGCCAGGTGTACCCGGCCGGTCGGTCATATCCGTCCCACGGGCTTGAAGACGTACCCAGCCGCGCCTTTCCCAACCGGGAAAAGACATCCAGGGTTTAACGCCATTTAGCACCTCGTAGTCGCTGTCCCAAAACCGCGATCCCTATCACATCGCAATATGGCACCTGTCCGGCAATTGTCTGTGACTCTTTTTTTCTGTTGGTGTTGTCGTTGATGATTCTTGTCGAGCTATCGCCCGTGTGTTATTCTCATGCACCAAGCTCTGACAGTCCTCATGGGTGTCGACTCATGACATGCCCCAGCCTCTAGCATGCAGGATAGAAAAAAGCTTTCTTGCTACTGGCTCCAGTCAACTGCCACGATTGGTGTTAGGGACATACTACTCGTGCAACACCAAAAACCTGTCCAAACGCAGCTGTCATCAAGAGTCAAAGCAAGAGCACCAGGAAGGAGAGAAGGCTGTTTTTGAGGGAACCCAAACATCTCCCTTCAAGGCTCACCGTCTCCATACTTCATCAACCGCAACTGAGAGTATCCGGGTTAATCGTCACTGTCCCCAGTGTCACCTCGTTTCCCACATCAATTAGCGTTCCGACGATCCAGCGATGCCAATCAAACCCCACGGTTGGGCGCTCACCCGATGTCTCGGTGTCTCATTGCCGGCTCCCTCACTGGCCTCCAGGGAGACGACTGACTCTTTTACTCACTAACGTAATCATCTCACGACTACTGCAAAGCAACATCGTGAGGCCAGCTAACAAGACACAGCTCCCCGTGACTTGTTGCTGACCGGCACACGGCACACGGCAGACCATGAGGTTAGCTAGCAATACTAACTTCAAGACTGACAAGTCGTCGACTTCCCAAGCCTCAACCGTCCACGTTTGTACTAGCTCTTGGCGCCGAGCTTGGCAAGCGGCGCAAGCCTACCCCGGCTCAGCCCAACGCGCAGCGTCGCAGAGCCTAGAGGGGGACCGCACTCTAAATCCAACTATGCTTAGAACTCTCATTTACCGCTCCCTTGCCCACAAAGCTGTATCGGTACTAGGCGATGAAGAGTCCCCTAGTGTGTAAGTGTATGTACACTACTCCGTACTCCGTAGAGATCGGGCACGTCTTATTTGAGGCCTTATTCATTCTATCCGGAAAGTCTGTTGGCCCGCGGGTGCCATGCCCCATGGAAGAACAACAAGAACCCTTTTCTTGCCTTTTCTCCATGGGCCACCGTTGCTGGTATCCACTCCAATGGGCACCCTTTCTTGCGCCTTCTTCTCTCAGCTGGAAAGGGGACCAGCAGTGTCCCACAGCCAGGCAGTTTTCCCTCTCTCTCGCTGAAATCATTCGTAAGCATCCCTGCCCCTTCTGCGCCTACTATAGGCTATACTCCATTGGGACAGATCCCATCACTGTTGAGGACCGGAAGACAACTGCGGCGATGCGGCGGGCGGAGGTGGGGTACCTAGGTATTCTACATTCTGCATTCTCCCACCGGAAGGGACCCTGACGACCTGAACAAAATGGGTGGAGCAGGCGCCTTGCCCGTGATTGGCCAAAGCGTAAACCACCCCGCGCCACACATCGAGTGGATATTTGGAAGCTGCGCAGTGATTCGTTCTCAGCCACAGTTGGGGACCATTCCGCGTTACGCGGCCTCCGATCTTGCTGTGTCTGGAAAATGTGAAGAGTTCAAGTTTCTTATCCAAGTTTCTGCCCACCAACCAAACGCTATGAAATACATTCGTCAAGGAGAGCCACAGGCTTCTCGGCGTTCCGTCACTGGAGACCTTCCAAGCCTCTCCCAGGCGCCGAACACCCGAGCCGGAGACCGTCTTCCCATTCTCCACTACGCCGCCACTCCAGTCATGAATCTTCCAGCAGGACAAGCTCTTCAAATGTCTCCAGCCAGCAGGCCCCACCCCGTGGTCATTCAACTCCACAACGCACACGAATCCCGTCGCCGCCGCCGTCACCGTTTGCCCGTTGCGAATCCCGCTGACCCTCGGCTTGATTTCAATCTCTGATCGCTACCAATTCCGTGAACCGAATGCTACTGTCTTACCGGAAAACCTGGGGAAAAGGAAAGGTTTTCAGGATATCTGGCATTTTGGCCCGCCAAATGGCATGTTCTCACAGTATGTGCTGTGTGCAGTTCATGGCGGCGAAAACGTAAAAGACAATGTGCAGATCACGGCCCAACATCCCACGAACCCAAACCTCAGTGACGGGCTCAACTGGAACGTTGACGTCTCTCGTTCCGTTCCCAATCTTATCGTGCCCGGGAGTGTCCTATCTGCGCATGTCTCTCCTCCCAGGCATGATCTAGCATTCCCTACGCCGACAGCCATCCCATTAATCAATTGCGTTCCTGAGATATCCACTTTTTCTTAACCACGACAAGCTACTGAGACAGATATCAAATAACCTCAGGTAGCGTTCCTTGTAACAAGAGCTGAGTTGAGCTGAGGCCAACCCGTTCTAGACCATGTTTGGATATCCTAGGTTGAATGAGGAAAGCTCGTGAACGATACAGTTCGGATGGCTTGACTCCCGTCGGGCAGTCATCTCTAGTACTCTACGCACCGACACGGTACTCTTGACCACTGCAGTCTGAGAGAGAGGGCTCATTTTCGTCGTTCTCTCTACTCTCGCTGCCCAGCCATCTAGCTTTAGCTTTTGGGCGTCTGCGCGTGCGAAGAATAACCTGCAGCTGCGATTTGAGATGTTTGCTGTGCGCTCCCCTCGTACTTGGCTTAGTCTTCTTTCCCCGGCTTCGCCATATGCCGAGAAGCGCGCTAGGCGAGTCCAGACTATGCTTTGAACTGAGGACATCTGGGCTTCCTCCACAATCATGCTGAGGCTTACTAACTGTCAAGCAGCCGTTTCAATATCTCCGCGGCGACTGTGTCATGACCTTTTCTCACGGCCACCATGTAGGCTGTCTCACCGTTTCTGTCGCTCAAGTCTAAGATGTAGCCAATTTCGTCTCTTTCACAAGGCTCGCAAAGAGTTTCTACCATAGAAGCCAACCCATGATACGCAGCGATATGTAAAGCGTACTGGCCATACATGTCGGGTTGGCAAAGCAAACGACGGCGATCAACTCCTGGGTGGTTGAGAAGTATCTTCGCAATCGTCACATCATTGTAGCCGACTGCTGTATTCAAAGGTGACTTGAAGGTCCTCGCGGCACACACGTCCACTTTGGCGCCCAGATCCAGCAATGTGTTGACCATGTCCACCGAACCCGATCGAACAGCTTGACACAATGGCGTTGTGTTGATCTCGCCACCTCTGAAGTTGACGTCGCAGTTCAATTGTCGGACAAGATATTGGACGGTCTGTACCCTGTTGTGCTCAGCAGCTTGAAGCAACGCACATCCTGAACCAAGCATGCTTTCTTGCTCACCAAGAGCCGTTGTTGCACCATAACAGAGAGTACACCCTTGATGCACGACTAGAAGCTGAGTGCACCCCTCAGCGGCCAGCAGACATATGAGTCGCTCCTCGTAGGTTATTGATCCACAGGCACGGAATTTGCCCATGTTACTGCGCCGGATCATGTTTTCTCGAGATGATAGAGCGATGTGTTTGGTGGACGCGTTGCACTTTTTGAGAAAGCCTGGAAAAACGAATTGCTTCGCATCCATACGCTCGCCACTGTTGCGGGCATGTTCCATCCAAAAAGACATAACGTATTGGTGTAGCTTCAGTCCTGGTTGGGCTAATGTGTCGCGCTCCAGGTATTTGACACAAAGCTCGAACAGACGATAATGGCACATTATTTTGTTGGTCGCCCGGTCTTGGGCAGCCGGGTCGAAATATTTCAGCCCGCAATCGTCCACCAAAAGGCGATGGATCGATGTATGCGCAAACTGCACGATACTCGGCCCAGGTGTTTCCTGAGAACCGGGTCGGATGACCTCGACGAGGCCTCTCGACCACGTTCGGATACATGCGGCAAAGTCCAATGTTTTGAAGTGTTCCAGCTGTGACTGCCACGTATCTGGGTAAATGAGGATTGAGATAGCTTCCATCACTTCTTGAAGTGACAGAGCCTCCTTGGCGAAAGCTATGAGTTGGAGGAGAAAATAGCTCTCTTCCCGCATGGCGTCGTCGGATTTTCTGGCAAGCCTTTCGAGGATCTCATCGTACAATGCCTTCAGCTCCTTCGGGATTTTCTGGATTCTTTTCAGAATATTTTCGGTGGTGGCAAAGTCTACTGTAGGCCAGTTGTCTAGATCCCAGACGACCAAAACAAGCCACATGAAGTTATGATTGGCCTTCATACTGAGGTTCTCGATGAGGATCTCGCGGCGTTCAGCGTTCATATGGCGTCTCCCGGTAGTCTTTTTAATGTAACGGCCGATATCTTCGTTATTATAACTCTCCATTTCGATCACAGATCCTCTCGAGATTGGGGAGAAACGAGGGCGTGTTGACGAACAGATTTTGAGAGGTATGCCGTAGTCAACGAGGTTCTCGAAGAATTCGAACCCTGAAGAATGTTGGCGATCGTTATCATCCCATTCGTCGAGAGCATCGAGGAAAATAAAGATCTTCCGCACGGCAGCATTGCCCCCTTGTGGGGAAGTGACTTCCAGAAACAGCCTTTTCAACTTGTTTTGCAGCTCAAACTGAGTCCACGAGTGGCCTGGCATCTTCCATGCCCTAAGGAAGTCCTTGAGAAGATGTGTAGGAAGGCATTCGGACCGAGCGATTGCATGATACAAGAGTGTCCGATACATGCCTACACCTGAGCTGCAAAATGGTTGTCTGTCACGAGACTTCGCGTCGAAAAAAAAATTCAGAGTCAGCCGACTATCGGGTTGCTCTTTGCGTTGCTCACAATACTGAACAGCCTTTTTCATGAGGACCGATTTTCCTGAGCCAAGGTTTCCTTCAACTGATAGGAACGAGTGGTCCTTGCCTGGGACTTCCCAATCCATGAACTGGGAGGTCCGGAATAGCCAACAATCTGGGAGGCTATGTTGATCATTTGAGAACACTTCGTCATAACGTCTTCTTAGTTCTGGAAAGCCTGATACCAAGATATCCAAACAATCTGCGGCAAATCAGACGTCCAGTCACGATGATAAAGCATTCAATGTAACTAACCGCGCCGGAGCTGCTCCCCTTTTTCTGTCAGTCGCTCCTGCTCCATGTCCATTCGGTTCTGCACTATCTACTATCAGCAGGCCGCTTCCGCGTCTACCTTGAGCCTCAGAGTCTACGTACAGTCGCGATTTCCCTCCTTGGTCGTTGGTTCTGCCGATGGAGCGCGCAACTCTTGGAGGTCAGCGAGCGCTTTCGCTTCCTCAGCCAATCTCAACCTCGCAGCAACAGCAGCAGCACATAGCTTTGATATACCAAACATGACCTTCTTGCAATCACTAGCCTCTTCGTTGTCAAACTTGCATAGCGCCGAATGATCCTTGCCCGCAAGAGAGATAGGCGTTTCCTGACTGCTTGGAAGACCCAACACGGCCGACTTTTTGTCGACGACCTGGAAATTACGGGATTAGCCAATTTGACATTTTCTAGAAGAGGCATACATACTAGCCCAGTCATGTTCTCGGGCGGAATAGTCTCATAATAGCTCAACACATGGAACTTTTCCAGGCCATGTCTAAAGTCATCTCTTATGACGTCGGCAAAAAGAGAATTCCTTTTCAGCGCTTCCATGAAGCTTGGTTGAGGGTTGCGAAGAACTACACTGAAAACATTGGCAACAACTGAAGCGAGTGAAGCGAGTTTACTGCCATTGTGAGGTGTCCCAAAGAATGCCATGCCGTATGTTGCGTCGTAGATTGCCTTGTATCTTTCGTTCTGTCTCGCTTCCGTCATAGCCTCAAGCAATCAACCGTCAGCATTCCACTATTCATTCCGTTGGCTTGCGCTTGTGACATTGACTTACTCTCTTCACCACTATTCCCCCAAGACTGTGGCACACGAATATGAGCGGTCGATCAGGTTCGGCCTAAATATCATCAGCAAAGTCATGACTCACTGACTAATATAAGGAATGGTTGATGCAATACATCGCGTTCCATAATTAAGAACTCCAGCAAACTAACAACCCATTCTTGTATACCCTCACGCGACTTGCGGAAGGCAGGGATAGCATCGTAGCCATACATCATGATGCGGGCTTGGGGCATTTTTGAAGGGAGGAAGTCCTTCAACCACATCTTGCCACCACTGGTCCATGCCTCGGAGCTGTGATCCTCCGCACCCGAAAGATTAGTCCGTGGACAGCGACGATACTATATTGTGAAAACATTGCGTTAGCTGATGGTTCATAACGCGGAGCTGGCAAAGCATACTCGACATTGGGCTTGGTGGGGGCCTTGGGATAGGCAATGACGCTCAAGAAGTTCAGTTCCTTGTCACTTGAAGACATGTTGAGAGCCCTGATATGAGATACTATCACGAGGTTGCGAATGAATGGACTTGGCGTTAAGAAAACAATGAATGTAGACCAGGGCGGGAGGAGCCGTAGTCGAGGTATATATGATCCACGTTGATAATTCCCATGACCCTGTGAAGCCTGATCCAGTCTTCGTCTGAACCCCCAAGAACCCATCGTTTTCAAGGGTGTGTGGTACCAAGAGGCAGGCTGCGTACTTATGGTGTATTTGAAGATCAGGCTGTCAGCAAACAGGCCGCCTTCAGGCGAGACTCCTGCAGATGGTGTAGTAAGAATTGGAACTGAGCCGAGTGATTAACGGTGTTTTGATTGACTGGAGAGATGTCTCCAGGCCATCATTGGACGTGGAACGAATGGTGTGTCACACCTCAATGGGAATTTGACTCGTTCCGGACTGGCTTGCATCCAGTGTGAGTCCCGTACGATAGCAATAAATAACATACCGAGGTGGCTAAGGGGCTGATGTACAGCGAACCTCGACATCTCGATGGAATCGGAGAGCCTGTGTACTCTGTTAGAATTGTCTTTGGATTTGTCTGACTAAATCTTGAAGGAGGGATGGTGGAGGGGCTTTTGCGAAGCGCCGAGGTATTTGGATCTAAATAAGCAGAAAAGAGCCTGATGTGTAGGCTGGGGTCACACAATGTTGGAACAGCCCCGGGGCACTGCCTTCCCTCTTTAATTTCAGAATCGAACCCCATCATCCACTCTGCAGTTCGCCGTAAGGCATTAGCTTGATGTTCCATCAACTCAGATCTGGCTTCGCCTCACTAGATACTAGGGCGCCTGCAGGTGCAAAAAGCTCCTCGTAAATCCGAAAAGCCTAACCTTGGTCCCACGAGATGTGTTCGCCAAGTTCATACTTCCAGAGTTGATAAAACAAGACATCCCTCATTACAATCCATACAGCATCGGCCTCAGCTATCTTGTCATCCATCTAAAAGCGTCAACATACTATCATTGACTGTCGTTCTCTGGAACATACCAAAGTCCTTCGCTCCTTGCCAATCGTCTTTCTTTCGTCTTTTGCGATGCAGTTAACCTACGCCATCCTCCTGCTCGGCATTGGTCAACATGCTCTTGGTCATCACCTTGAAGCCAGGAAGGAGAACTCATGCTCGGGCATCAAAATACCTGAGGACTGCAAGCCATCCTCAGGAGAAGCATGGACATGGCTCACAATGAGTCAGTGCGTTCTCAAAACATTCACGATTGACAAACTCATCGACTGCATTGGAGACAATGATGCGAATATATGCGAGAGGCTCCCTGAATACCGAACCGACGACGAAGTCCTATTCGACGGACTAGATGGGAAGAATGACGGGAAGTTTTGTATCAAACCCCGTGGAATACTTTGGCTAGCAGCAAGGGCGGCAAGGCAAGCCGGAGCGCCCTGTAACCTCGATCGTATCTTCTACTGCTGCCCCGATGGGAACGTTGCTGGCTTCAGGTCTTGCCTCTGCTCCCATTCTGTCACCGACGAGAAGTTGACGTGCATGTCCGACGCCCTCGGATTGTTGAGAAGCAAAGTCTTCAATGGAAAGTGCGAAGAGGGGATTCGCGACAGAGATGTCAATGTCAAGAAGCGGATTCCACAACCAATGCCCGCGAAAGACACGAAGATTCTCCCTTGGAAGGACAATTTGATTGTCAAACTCGGTGAACAATACATTTGCTCAACCTTTGATAGAGGCAACTAGTGGGGTTGGATATCATTTTGCGGAGTAAGGATAGCCGTGTCACTTCACATCACCTACCTGAGAGGCGTTATTGCGTAGCAACTTTCAGCCATAGAGGGAAATAGTGCGGAGTTTGGATTTTTGTTCTACGCGCTGGACAGAAGTTGGGTTCCTGCTTTCAATAAATTTGTCGCTCTCTGACTTTTATTTTAATGAGGTCCAATTCGTTTGGAACATGTACAGTGGAATACCTGGTCGCTTGTCGATGTCAAGCGTAGCAATATCTGGTTTGCGTCTGGCTAAACCTAATGGATCTATCTTGAATAGCCGACTGTAAATCAAAGACACCAGGCTGACGCGTTCACTTGTAGTGGCTTGGGCAAAGGGCATGAGGAGTGTTGTGCGTCAGCCTATGGCTGGGCTAGAGCGCAAGACGCGTTTGGAGACAATAGCGACAGACCAATGTTGGACGGTTAGGACGACTGCAGCGCCTGGCAGGCAACTAAAATGAATGAACCGCGATAAATAAATGGCTGAATGTAAGTGTTAGACTGTATTAGCTGTGGGCTCGACGGGTGGAGTTTACAAAGGCCAGTCAATGATGCCCTGATGTCCAAGAGCGTCCGATAAAGGTGGAATAAGGGGATAAATGAAGACGAACGAGCACGTAGGTATTATTGGTATTATTGATGTTGATAGAGACACGGCTGCATATATACCTCGGGAATAACTTGGCTCAGAACGTGTCTGATATCTGAGCCTATGGTAACTAATTAGGCTGGTCACCTTCCGTAGCCGATTCCTGTCTTTTCGGAGCGGCAAGCCTCTGTATTATCTTTCATGGCTCGTAGCTTACTTCATCACGACCTTGGAATTCATTGTAGCTGTGACTAAATTGACGGCAAATGGGTAACTATGCGAGACAGGCATCGGCCAGTGTGATGAAAGAGACTTATCTCACAAGTACCCTGTCAATTTGCTGCCGCCTTGAAGGTGGCGTGATATGCTGCCAAGCACAATATTGATGTATTTGCAGGCGCCTACGCCCGGATTCAGAGGCAGACGATACTGCACCTATGCGCGACCATTCATTACATATGGGAACCCCCCCCCCCCCCCCCCCAAAATGCACGTCGAGGAAATGCCTCGGAAAGGATACAAACTCGGTTAGCACGGCGCGAGAACCCAGGCGGCAAATGCCTGCATTCATCTGCTGTAGTGGTAGTCGACTTATAAAGCTACAAAGACCGCTGGGGTTTGAAGGTATTGGAACGGCCTTCGAGTGGTTCGCCAGTGCCCAGAGACAAGGTATACTTTGGAATCATTGATTTGAATATTTGTTTCGATGGCCTTAGAGCGGCATACGTGAAATGACTTTCTATCCATGCATTCGAAAACGTGAAAAGGTATAAGAATCATCAACACTCTGAAAGAGAAGACACAGAATAGCAAGTAAGAGGGGGAAACACGTAACAACCACACCACAATCGTATAAGGTTACCAGCAGACTACAAGTCAATGGTACATCCCTCATACCCGGCCTTTCAGAGCGATCATCACTCTGTGCCTAGCTTCTGCTCATGTACCAAGGATCTATACTAGTCCTCTCTGTCTCTTGTATCGGGAGATCCTATTCTCGTGCGGCTTTCCAGCCGTGTAAACCTTGTTCCCTGGGCCAGCGAGGTTGACGAAGTGAACGTTTTCGAAAACAATTTGCTGTTGACCAGATTGTGGAAAGGGGCCGTTTACCCGTCCAGTACTCTGGGGAACATTTCGTTGCTCGGGCAGTTGAGCGGGTGTCCCAGTGTTGTGGGAACTGACGCGAGGTGGAGCAGGCGGACCGGCACCGTACGGAGAAGCTTGCTGGCCAGGAGGTCGAGGGACCCACGCGGGGGCACAAGGTGCGGCAAACTGAGGAGGAGGCTGAGCATGCTGAGCAGGCCTGCTGGCTCTATGAGGAGCAGCTTGCCAGCCAGAAGCCGGACCAGCCATTCTGGCAGCTGGCTGATTAAGAGGCGGACGAGCCGGAGCCGGCATAGCAGGCGTCTTAGTATCCCTTTATGGAGCTGCTGGATTGCGAGCCGGAGGAGGCGGGGCCGGTTAGCAAACGCGTCTACTTTTCCGTATACAGCCGGGGCATTGTAAGGCGGTGGCGGGACGCAGCCCGTCGGTTGAATGATGAAGCAGACTTCTCAGGCGCGGTGATGAGATCAAAGAGAATCGACGGATACATCTCATCGAGAAGATCACCTTTGCGCTTTTTCAATTCGGGGCTGTACGTCTGAAAAGTCATGATTAGTCTCTTTGCTTCGGTGGCGTGGCATTGACCGCAGCTTACGAGTCTCTCTTGTCATAGACATTACAGCGTTTAACCGACTTCAGTGCAATAGTGCAGTTCAAGCCCAATGCGGCGAGGGACTTCTCTATACGACCCGCGTGCCCGAGTGTTGCTTCCTTGAACATGAGGTTCGACCCGGCAGCCCAACCGGAGGAATCACGAACAGCAGGGGCGTCTTCGTCAAGGATGCGGCGCATTGAGGGCAACCGCACCAGAAGGCGTCCAGGTCACATGCCTCAGGAACCGGGGTCCTGAATGGTTCCCCCACATGCTACCCACCCGGCAGTGTAGTAGGATGCTCTGCGAGTCTGGAACAACAACCTTTGTACAGCGAATGGCATGGTCTGGGTACCTTGTTAATGAAGGAGATAGATTTCTCGTGAGTCAAAGCACGAATGGCATAGTCATCCAACGTGGACCAATGATTTCCGTGAATCAAACGTTCTGACTAGGAGCCGAATAGAAGAAAAGTTAAAGATCCTTTGGAATGATATTAACTCGCGCGTTATGGGTTATGCTATCGACCTGTTCAACCTACTCTAGTAGCGTACACGGCATGCTATTACAACGAGGAATGAAATTGGCACGTGACTAGATCCCACTGTGTCTAACGGCTAAAGAAAGCAACAGGAGAGATCGAACCCAGGCCTAGATACCTCAGCTTAAGGCGCCTCTACTCTAGTCGGGGCCTTCTTGGCAAGCCAATTTAGTAGGCAGGAAAAAACGCCGTGGGAGGGAAGAGAGAACATCAGGTGCAAAACCGCTCGGAAAGAGGGCGCGAGAAAAGAACGGCGATTGGTACCGATAGATGTATGGATTGGAATGGCAACGGCACGACTATCAGCTGAGGCAAGGTCCCTGCTGTCTTGCTACCCAACAAGTAATGTAAGGTACATCGTTCTAGGTAAGGTAGGCGAGGTTGAAAGGAACCCATGGTCAGAGTCCGACGGTAG